CCCCCTCCCCTCCGTCCCGACAGCGGCAGCGGCTGGCTCGACCGGTAGACATTAGGCCTGAGCGCCGCCCGACCGTGTGATTTCCTACGACCTTCTCTCTCTCTCCTTTACCTGGCCGCCCATACTTCTCTCACTCACATCTTCAGCTCGCCTCAAAATACGTCCTACTATTTAGCACGCCTTCATTGGCTCAGACTGGCGTTTAGTCTCGCGGTCTGTGGCACGGAGGAGGAGGGGGAGGAAGGGGCGAGCAAGGGATGGAAGGAGCCAAGGGAGCGAGTGTGGGACTCGGGCGCGTAGAAGCCGCCGAGGCGAGGAGTGAGTCATCGCCGAGTTGTCCTCCCCCTCCCCTCCCCTTCTCGCGGCACCGCGCGGAAAAATCACTCAACAAGTTGTGCGAGCGCAGGAGCGCAAGTGGGCCAACCCAACCCCCGCCCCGTCCGTGGCCGATGGGCTGCCTAACGCTTCGGCGCCGGCCGGGCAACAGTGGCGGACCGTCCCGTACGACATTGCTCTGACCAGTCTCAGTGGTCTCAGTATACAGGGCCCGGACGAATCGCTTTTCAATTCGTTTTCCAGTCACCCAGTCAGTTGGGAAATACTTCCGAAAACCACCTCCAGAGGCTCCAGCCACTTTTCTAGTCACGTCCATTCATTCTCCAACCATTTCCAGTCAGAGTACACCCATTTCTCAAGTGCTTGCTTACTTACGTGTTCCTTGTTTGTTGCAGAGGAGGCCCGGAGCCGTGGAGGAGTGGTGCTACTGCACTGTCAGGCCGGCGTCTCGCGGTCGGCCGCCGTCGCCATCGCCTACCTGATGCGCGCCCGCGGGCTGAGCATGGCCGAGGCCTACAAGGAGGTGAAGGCGGTGCGGCCGATCATCTCGCCCAACCTCAACTTCATGGGCCAGCTGTTGGAGCTGGAGCAGAGCCTGCGCCTGGAGCCCAGCCCCGCGTCCAGCCCGGCGTCCAGCCTGGACAGCCTGAGCCCTGCCCCCAGCCCGCCCCCGCACCCCCTCCCGCTGCCCTTCGACGGCCACCCTGCACCGCGGCCCGCACCCAGTGAGCAGTCGGTAGCGGTGGCGCCGTCTTTGCCATCGACGGCTCTCTCATCGGCACCGTCGTCCACATGACCCACGCCCCCGGGCCCTACTGGGAGGGTCGAGCTTGTCTGTGATACCGGGCCGCGGGCGGTGCTCGTGCAGCTGCTCATGCTGACCCTGCTGCTGCTGACTCTGCCCGTCAGGCTGTGCCGACGCCGTCGCACCCGCCGCCCCTGGGGCCGTTCCTGGGGCTGGGGGCACCGTTGGGGGCGGGCCCTGGGGGCCCTGGGGGCGAGGCCTGTGGGCGTCGGGGACGCCCTGGTGTAGCGTAGGCCCGCGGCCCCGACCGCTATTTATTACATTTTTGTTGTAATTATAGTAACTGCTATAGTATTATCGTTGTCGCATGTGCGTGGGGGCGCTCGGCTCCGCACCGCCATCCGTCAGTGCCATTGAGTGTTAACTTATTGCTGGGACAACATTGTCCTATCTTTATTGTGTATAAACCTTAAGTGAGATACCGCGAGACAAGGTTTTTACTTGATTTTGTCCTTAATATCAATATCATAAATTTTGTTCTGTCAGCAACAACAACAACAACAACAAAAAATGAAGAGAAATGGAAAGAATGACCATAAGTCTCCGAACAAGGAATGGTACTGAATCTATAGAATGCAAAAATGTTACCAACTGTAGAAATTTTGGCACCTCTAATAGGTAGCTTGTAAATATTTTTTTTGTCTTTGCCACTATACCCGGTCTTCCAGTGTTAATCATATCATGCCATTTTGTTCCTACTAAATTAGCATTGCATCTTGTTCCCTTTAGATTTTGTAGTTTATGGAGTTTTTTTGGTTTCAATGTAAAAATAGTGTGTTATTTTATAAACATTTGTTTGAATTGAAAGACATTGAAAGCAGTATTTAACTACTATGCCTGCACCTATTGTAATGTGTTGTTTTCTGTAGTATTTTTAAATATTGGCACGGTTGATTATCGGACCAGTGTCACTGGAAGATCCTTCTTAGGCAAGGAAATTGAATCTAGTCGTCAAAGTTGGGAATGTGGCTGTGTCAAGGTGGGCGGGAACATATCAAAGCACCCATACCTTGTCCTCACGCATTGTCCCTTTACATGTTAGTTTGTTTGATATTTCGAAAACTGAACTACATCAATTTAAATGATATTTCACATTCCAATTAAAAGGAAATTGAAAAGTGAAACGTTAATAACCCATGTACTTAGAGGTGATAAATTATTTATTCAATTTGTTATTAAAAGGTAGAATAGGATAAACTGTGTTTTAACATTTTAATCCTGTGTGAGCTGTCAATAATTTTTCCTGGTTCTATATGTTTTCACAAAGCACTTGTGACACAACTAATCATCCTTTGGAGCCATGGAGCTTGTTTGCTCATATCTTGTTCTACCCTTTATCCTGCAGTTCTGTTAGTTGATGGGCAGGTGTTCCCGCACCATCACATAGCATGATCATTGAAATTGTCTTGGAGGTTAAATTGTTCTACAAGTGTGGTGTTTGCTACAAATGTTTGGATGTGGGTCGAGTGATGTTGTGTGTGCCGTGTCCAAACATAACTACTAATGTGAAAAAATATATTGATTTAATATAAACACTGTAACTTTTAACTTTCTTATCAACATTCCTATTTCCAATGTTCATCTCAAACAGATGAGTAAATACATATGGGGGTTACACCTAGGGCTTGCTTATGGATCACAGTGCTTAGGAAATACACATGCAAGCATGGAGTATATTTTATTTAAAATTGTATGCATAAACAATTAAAGAACAGCTGATCTTTGTTTCAAGGTTAGTGGTGTTGGCACTTCCCTCTACTGTGTTGTATTCCAAAATAATATTCCATTTCTGTTGAACTCTTACCTGAATATTGGACTATGGATAGGTACCGCAGGGTTAATTAAAATACTGAAGTTCTTAAATACAGTATTTTTATTAGTTTCCAAAGTTTTGAAACCTTGGTTTAAATTAACAAAGCTATTTCTTTTAAATACATAGCTTTCCATTACACATTTAATCTATTTTTAATTATTATTACATTTATTATTATGATAAACCTGTAGTAGGGAGCAATGAAGGTGTTTTCGCTGGAATTTCTTCCCACTGACTTTTCCTCAGGTCAGTAGCATTAGCATTTATGGTCAGTTGGTTCATAGACAAGGAATGTGGGAGTACAATCTGCTGTGAACTTTCTATATGACTTTCCATTTTCTCTAACAAGTTTGTGGCTATCATGGCAAATTCTTCCCATTGCTGATATGTGCTTATTGTTCCATTTCCAGTATCGTTAATACTGCTATCATTGGTAGATGTGCTATTTTTTGCTCCAAAAAGACGTTCATCATCTGTAAAGATAACACAATTAGCAAACTAATAATTTAAAAGAATCCACAGTATGCTAGATTCGTCTAGTAGAATTAGAAATTATTTTTAAACTAATGCCAGTGAACCACTGTATAACTGTTTTCAATACCTAGAAAATCCACCAACACTTCAACAAGCTGATTTGTCTGATCTGCTCCAAGCCAGTTTAGATTTGCCATGTCAATGCAGTAGTTCCATAATACTTGACATATAAGGCTTGAAAGTTGCCAATCACTCTCCCCATGGTAAAGAAGAATGGCAATAAGCCTGAAATACAAACAAATGGATTATATCAGTGTCATGTGAAATTCTCAAATTCAGGTAAAAGACTTTAAAAGACACCTTGAAATGCCTTGAGTGCGCTGGAGAGCCTCCCGTTTGTCTGCATCAGCCATCAGATTAACAAGTACTCCTGTTGTTGAACGCAACAGTTCATGGTTATCAGTGCTTAAGAACTTGAGAAGCTGGTTTAGCCCTGTAAATTTCCAAATTATTGATCAATATACCAATGTGCACTGAATAATGTCAATTTTAAATTTAAATTTTGCAGTACCACCAGTTTCCAAAAGGAAATCCCTTGCTGGTTTAGAGCGAGTCAGGTTGCCAAGGACCTTAGTAGCCTCAACAAGACACTCGTCCAGATTGCTCATTAGGAGCGTATACAAAGCTGAAATGAAAGTTTGGTAAAAAAAACTAAACAAGTAAACATACATTTTTGAATACTATATCATGTTATCTTTACCTTGAGAAATATCCATTAGGTGGGAATTGAAAATTGAGAGCTCTGCACCACTTGGGTAGTATGTGAGATTATTGAAAGTGCTGAGTGTTGACAAGACTAATTCAGCACTTTCCGCAACAGATTTACGCCTCAGAACGGTCAACAATAGTCCAATTGCTCTGTCACCAACCTTTAGGGGAAAATGGTGTTCAGTATAACACATGCTAATAGATTGTGCAGTTAAAAACTAAATAAATAGTGAACTCACAGCAGTATCTTTCACATTTAAATGATCTTTCCATGAATCATTAATTGTATCATTGAGTTCTGTTTCATTGACTATAGGTAGACATGTCAGCCGTTCTCCCACTTCCATATTCATACTCATATTAGCAACAATCCTTATCATCTGATAAAAATAAGAGAAGAGATTGACACTTTTAGTAATGTGCCATGTGGACTAAAAATCAATTAAAAGTTCTCATACCTTGACAATAACATCTTCAATGGATCCGTCAGACCCTGATTCTAAAGAAAGATTGTGTTCCTCTCTTTGAAGAGATTTTTGAGCCTCATTGGTGGCAACGTCTAAATCTTTTTGTAAGTAAAGTTGCAGCAAATCTAGCAGTGTATCCATGGCTCCGTCAGTGTCCAAAAGCTTTAACATCATTACATACATTCAAGTTTAGACCCTTGAAGGAAACTGAATATTCACTCTACAAAGCATCATCACAAATCTTTACCTGCAAACGTATTTCATCGTTCTTTGCTAAAAGGTTACCCAAAGCATATCCCAATCTGACAACAATATCTTGGTGTCCCGGATATTTTGAAAAAAGTTTTGCAAAAAGCTTGGTGCAATTTTTGTACTTAGCAATAGCTTGACAGCAATCATCGTTGGTAGAAATAATACTGTAAAAAAACAGTCTTATGAATTAAAGTTTTTATATAAATTGAGGGATTACAGTTATGACCAGTCAACCCTTTATTACATAATTTTACCTGAATGTCCGCGCAATGTTTGTGACAAGATCAAGGTCAGAGCTGAAAAGTTCCATGGATATACAAAGCTGACATACAGCACCATTTGCTTCTAACATAGGGAATGTCGATTCTTCTCCAGCAATGTTTCTTAGAGCTCCGGTCAGTTGAAATATAGCATGGCTAGTCTGCTCGGGAAGTCTACCCCCTTCTGATCGCTAAAGAATTAACATTTTTAAAAGAGATTTACATGTATTCTAGATGACAAATAAACCATAGGTATCTATAGTAGAAATGAATTTTGACCAATTGAAATTTCATTTACCGCAGAATTCACAATTTTGAGGTGAAGAACCATGAGATCTAAGGTGCCAAGATCAAGTATGTGATTTAGAAGCTGATTATTCATTGTGAGGAATTTAAGAGCACCATATCCGTACACACAAGCTTCAGCATCCTCAAGAGGACTAGCTGTTCCAAGGGCATCAATAAATAAATCTATTTAAAAAATAAAAACAATTAGTGAATATCAACTTGTTTACCCTAATTAAAACATAGATACATATTTATGTAATTACTTGAGAATAAAGCATACCTAAGATATTTCCTTCCAAGAACAAATTGTCGTTTTTGTCATTCCTTGCTACTTTAAACACTAATTTGCAAACACCTGCCAAATTACTTCCAGTTACTGGCAACTGTAATTTAAAAAATATTGTTACTACAATTCCTCAAGTTACGAGACCTCAGAATTCAATTGCTACAACAATGAAAATCACTTACACAAAATATGATGCGAGCAAGCTTTAAGAGGAGAGTGTCTTCAGAACGTTCTACAAACTTGTACACACACTTCAGCACGTGTGTTTTAATTTTAGAGCTTATTCCAACCTTCCTTTGCAAACCTGATCCTCTAAGAGCATCATAGAGTTCATCCAAGCCCAGCATCACCATTGCATCCGGTCCTTCTAATAGCATAAATTGCAACCAACACTTAAGCAACTTCATATCCAAACAATAAGAGGGCAGAGAAAGTAAATAATCAAAACTGAAACTAAAGCATGTTGTCTTTTATTGAGGCTTACCATTAAGTGCAAGTTCTGTCAGTTTGTTGATTATCTGATAAATTTTTGAAGAAATTTTGTTTTCTTCAGGAACTTTACTCCCATACGAGTTAGCTAACTTTGCCTCATTAATGCAATTATCATATATTGCAGATTCTTTATCTGATTCAAATCCAGACAATGTTTGACCTGAGAAAGAAGAGAAAATACAAAGAGTTAGATGATTACTTTTTTTAACCAAACACAAGGCTTCTTTAACTTTTTTGAGTTACACGTATTGATAAAGAGAGAATGTAGAAAGTTGATAGTTATTGATTTACGACCCACACACAAATGCTTCAAAACAAGAGAAACACAAATGAGTCACTTTTTCTAAGGACTCACCTGGTGGTTTTGTTATACATTTTCAAAATAATTCATAAGAAACCCTTAGATTATAACCCACAAAAAATTATTATTAACTATTAACATTCCAACTATTAGCTAGATCAGAATTTTCGGAGAGTTCATCCCAAGCATTTGGCTTATTATTTCCACTCAATTTGTTGCAAAAGCCACCTTTCAATTTCTGTCCACTGCCCAAGAGCCACAATTGAAGGATCTGGAACATGTGAAATGCACCTCTCACGGCTATCTAGCAATAGTGGGACCACCAACAAGAGTCCAACAAGTGAATGGATCGGATGGACTTATTTGAACTTTTTTTTTTTTTGAAAAAGACAGATTTTCAATCAACCAATCACATTTAAGAAAATTAATTGTACTTACCATTCTTATTATGAACTCTTTCACCAAATACTTCTCTATCAACCTTTGAAGATGAATATGGAGAGTTTACACCATCAGAGACTATATTGGGGCCAAACACATTATGTTCTATGTCAAGTAAATTATGTGTTTTTTCCACAACTGTGTTTGTCATTCCATCAGGTTTCTCAAGTAAGTCATGTGAAAAATTTCCAACATCTAAGGAAAGCATAGTTTTCTGATTGAACTGGAAACCTTTCATTTCTGCATCTTTTCCACCACTGATATTGGTTTTAGAAGAAATATCAGCCTTTGATGTGAAGTCATCATGTTTCATTATTTTTCTGGGTGTCTTACTATTTTGTGAGATAGAGGAACTTGCTTTACTCTTTTGCAAACCAACTACATCCAAACAATCTGAGAGACGTTCAGTGTGCTCTTTGGGGCTGCTATATGCATTTCGGATGGGAGTCTCATTGGAGAAAGTTTCAGATCCCTCCAACTCCTCTGGCACTAAATACAAAACAACAGAGGAATTTTTTTAAGGTTGTAGATAGAGATATTTTTGACAACAAAATCATCTGTTATAAAATTTTCAACTCACAATTGTCAAGAGATGCAGATGTTCTGAACTGATGTCTACGTTTCCGACGTATATCTTGAGCATCAACTATTTTGCTAATGGATGGTAATCGTGTCAAAGCATTACCTGTTATTTCTGTCACACAGTAAATGTCAGTTAGAGATTCACTGTCAGATACAGCAGTTCTTCCGTGTTACCTAATTCAGATTTGAAAAAACAAAAACAAAAAAAAACACAACTTGCACTTTGCTAACCTTTTACCATCTCCAGAGCTGCACCCCCACTCATTGTCATTGGCTGAAGCTGTGCTCGTTTCGGAGGATGGTTACCAGAAGAACTTGCGTCCCCTGAGTCTCCACTTTCTTGGTTTTGTAGATAACGTAAGCTGGGCAAGTAATAAGTTAGTAAATTATAGTCTACTTCTTCTCATCATGAACTAAATGCTGAGGGAGAGAAAAACATAAAACCCTAGTGTTTACCTGAAGGAACTAGGAGGTCTTTGTCCCGACCCCCTGGAACGACCAAATAATGTTCTTTGGCCATCACGAGGAGTGAAAGGCCTTTTGGTATTTACAGGCTGAATGATAGCAGCACTGCTATTGGATGTACTTGGTGTTCCACTTTGCATGATTGAAGCTCTGGCTTCATTGATAATTTCAGAGCTTGTTTTCCTTACACAAGCGGGAGGTTCATAAAAGGCAAGATTGGGTTTACTTCTACCACTCTTTGATTTCTTTTCCATGTCTAGAACTGAAAAGAGGAATAACATCACATAAACGTGCAATAATTTCTAAATAAATGATAAAAAGAAGATAAAATTATAAAGAAGTTACCCGATCCATACTTCAAATTTAATTTAATAATAATGACAGAAAAAGAACTTCCCTGCAACATTACAAGGTGATTATCCTCACAGAAAATTTGATGTACTTAAAAAAAAGTAATTAGAAGTGCAGAGTTCAGTGCACAAGACCAAGAGTAGCGAGCAAATAGCGAAAATACATCGACATTTTAATTTAATCAATGAAAAATTATAATTCTGGCAATGGATTTCCGCGAGGAAATGTAAAGTACTCGGGTGAAGGGAAAGGCCATGTTATGACTACAACGCTGTTCGCAACAACTATGGCGAGGGACAGGGTCGGTTCGAAGAGTGGTCTTCCTGTTTTTCTTGCTTTTCTTACCGGTATCACTGGGATCACTAGTCAGTTAAAACAAGTCACAATCCTCACATCGCTATGCGCGTGAGTTGGAAAGATTGCGGGACGGCGTTGCCAACGGGCCCAACGGGCCTAAGCAACCCGATGCGGGACGGCACAGCGCCGCGGGAATGTCGCCGAATAGCATTCGGATCGAACTGGGGAATGGCGCCGCTCTGAGGCGGTTTGGAGGGAGGGGCGGGGGAGGGGGGCACTACTAGCGCACCAGGCGCCAGGGTCTTCCCTCCCCACGGCGGCCCTGGTCGGTACCCGGCCGGCACTTGCTATAGCGCTCCCAGCCCAACCTGCCGCCTTTTCTACTCACTGCCACAGCCAACACAGAACCCGCGCTTCGTCCGTCCGACTATAGACTGGCCAGCACAGACTGGATCGATGGGTCGCCGCTGTTGGCGCGCCGGTTTATGTATTCAGTCACGCATCACGCCGCAAGTCAGGCCCCCGGGGCCGAGCGAGTAGAGTCCTGTGGTGGCGGCTGGGGTCTTGTGAGGACGGCCGAGGTCTTACGTTCTACGGGTCAACTGCCATTCTACGGGGACAGCAGCTGAGATGTCGCGTATTTGTGCTTGGACATCCCGCACAGAAGCGGGTCCTGGCCTACGTAGGGCGGCCGAGGGCATACGTATGCAGCCGCAATGCCTCCGCCCCAGCCCGGCACGCGGTAGGAGGTACGCGGTTGTGTCCTCCTGGTGGTCCTAGAGGTGGGCCTGAGCGCGGTAGCGCTGCCGAGGCCGAGGCTCGGCTGAGGTCGCTTGTCTCGGCACCGCCCTGGGGGGCATGTCCCGCGCACACCCAATCGATGTGATGGCGAGGAGGGCGAGAGCCCGGGCGCCACTTTCCCGTCGCACGCCACGGCTTCGGCCACCGCGGCCGGGCATTTGCTGATGAAATTTTCACTAAGGTATTCGTAGGTCAAGGCGCGGTAGGTTTGAACTGCCACCGCCCCACCACCGCGTGCGACCTTCGACGCGGCCCAGGTCTTCCACGCCACCCCTCAACTCACACCAGCCCACCATGGGCAGGTGGTTGGTCGGGCCCGGCGGGGCTGCGTTCGCCGTCGGAAGCGGAGACCAATTTGGGTCGAGCCATTCAGGTCATAAGGCATAAGGGTCGCCAGTAACGGCCAGCCCAGACCACATGTGGGTCAAGGGCGGCTGTGGCGACAAAAACAGGCACTTTACGTAAAGGACACAAAAAAGGGCCCATCAACCAGAAGATACAAAATCTGCAGAAACATTGATTTTATTACAGAAACTGGTAAAAATCTGAAAAACAATTTATGAGGAAAGTTACCAGAATCTAAACAACATTTGGTCTGGTTGAATGATTGACACAACTGACTCATGGTTCAACACAATAGTTAACTACTAAAGTGTTCTGTTACAGTGTCAAAAACCAAGAATACCACAACCAACTTAGATAGACATATGTGGAACACAGAAATGACACAGTTAGTAAACTTCATGATGTAGGTCTCTCTTCATCATGGTAAACTTAAACAGAAGTCTAACATTGCAACAACAATTATGTACTGTTAAATACCATAGTCAAGAATCAAACTCTTACTAATTGATGAATTTAGATTGACATGACATTAGATCACAAAATATTTTTCTCATTTGAGAACAAAATAAGTTACTTCAAGAACCATAAACTATTAACCTTGCAAAAAATCAGAACCAACCCTACATAAACTTCCCTCCCGGAGGTATGTGTAGGTTAATAGTAACAAAAAGCAGGGAAGACTTAGGTACAATCTAAAATATTTACATGCAATTCCAAAATAGTATGTATGTTTCACAAGCTTTGAACGCAAGACCAGAGAGGACTCATATCAAACCTTATATAAAAATAATTATCACAAAATAATCTTATTATATGTTATTCTTAGAAGTAGACTACTGTACCTACATCAAAATAGATAAATTTGTTTAACAGAATTTTTAGAATAAAATTAGATAAAAATTTTAACAACTGACTGAGTGTTAATCATTAAATAGTCTCACATAATGTAAGTACTTGATTTTTGTGAATAAAAGTGTGACAAATTTCAAACTGTTTCTCAATGTCATTTAGTAACCAGAAGACGCCAATAATAAACTCAGAAGAGTCTCAAAACTAGAGCAAACAAAATTTTACTCACAAGAGGAAGCCAGTGAACACTAATTTAAGTTATCATCCTTCTGTTATCAATGTTATAATGGTTGATATAACTTTCCTTCTCTTTGGGTTTGTAAACAGATTTAAAGAGGGGTCTGCAATTTTGTCTTGCAAAATTCTATCAAGTTCCTGTCTCATATGACAGATCAATTCTGCAATCTGAAAAAAAAAAAAAAAGGAGTAAATCTAAGATGCACCAAAATAAAAAATTACAATCTACAACATGAAATAGATACCTGGTGCGTTTCAACAGAAAAAAGGATCCAACCCTCCTCCAAGGAAAGTACAGTTGTACCGCAATGCAACTCCACAACCACATCTTTGCCCGTGAACATAACAAGTGGTAATAATGACACCATAGAACAATCTCTCACAAAAACACGAGAAGTTTTAACTTTTTCTTGATATACAAGATATGGGCTAGAGAAGTTGTTAACACTGTGGTTAACAGATGATGGGTGAAGATTAACCTGAAAAAAAAGAATGCAGAAATTGGTAAAGGCAAAAACTAATTAAGATATCAAAATTATAACAAACTTACATAGCCATCTTGTTTAGTTTTAAAAGATATTTCATCTGGTCGAAGTTGTCTTGGTATACAACCAGCCACACTAGGTGCAAATGTTTTCGCTGGAGTCATTACTTTAACAATATTAGGGTACAATGCTGCACAGAGCACGGCAGCAAGCAGCTTATGATTATCTGCATGCTCATTCAGCTACAAATTTTAAAAGATGAAATCAATAAACTTTGCAAGAATCAATATCAAAGTAGCCTGAATACGTACTTACTTCGCTACCACTTAATTGGAGAACACTATCTTCTCCACTCCTCCTTCTTCTTGATCCAACAGCAACAAAGCCAATATCAGCCAAAAGTTCCAAGAACTGATGTTTCATATCAGCAATGGTCACTAATGTACGCCATGACAAATAATTCTCTTCAGCAAATACATCACCTGCACGGCGGCTAATCTGGTTCTTTTTTAGCCAGGTCTACAGGAATGACAAATGTGTAAGTACACGACAGTGAAAAGTGTTTATAACCAAGGCAAAGATGGAAATACAAAAATTAGACTAACATGCCCTGGGTAAAGTAAAGTCAAATAAACCTACTGTATAGGCCTTGAGGGCTGTTAATTGATCACTGTTTGCAACAGCAAATTCTTTTTTTTTGGCGTCTGCATCCTCTCGTTTATGAAAAGGTGCTGAGAAGGGGGATTTGTAGCTCAAACAAGCAGCAATAGTAAGAGCAGAATCCAAACAACGGAATATGGCACCAAATAACATCAGTTTTCCAATCCTAGAAAAAAACCAACAACAAGGTATTTATATAAACAAATTTTTTAATTCGGAGAGTTTAGATGGGTCAATGAAACCAGGGAACCTTCTGAATTTACCTGACATCAACAGGAAGTTGGGCTAAGTGACAACCAAGAGGTGTTAAAGCCTGCTTATCATCAAGGGCTCCAATATTTTGTAAACGCAATAGGGCAGAATTGATACTCTCAACATCAGGGGCCTCCAGCATACCACCTATTGAAAATTGGGTAAATAAAACAAAAAGAAAATATATGTGTACAAGTTTCAGAGTACATATATTCACATGACAACTCAAGCATAATGACCACAATTTTTAAGAAAAAGAATTCTTACCAAATATTTCATGACTACTTCTATCACAGAAGTTACGGAGAACCTTCATCCTGAGTATTAGTTGCTCTAGTGGTATTCTAAGCAATTCAGGAATAGGCTGAGCAAGAAAATTAAAGTCATGACGATATTTCGTGTAGAGATGAAAACAAACGCCGGGCATGACTCGTCCAGCTCGCCCACGTCTCTGAGCAGCATTTGCTCGGGACACCCATGCCAACTCAAGACTCTCCATGTTTTTGTTTGAGTCAAATCTACATGAAATATCACATTTAAGTAGATGCTTGTCACATGATTGTTTAAGGAGAATCACAATTGACACTTTACAAACCTCTTTTCTTTCATTCGTCCAGCATCAACAACAAATACACAGTCATCAATAGTAATTGATGTTTCAGCAATATTTGTTGATAATACAATTTTTCTGGCCCCTCCTTTCGGTTTTCTGAGATGGAAGACAGTGATGCACTTATGTAATACAGAAAAGAATGCAGATAAGGTGCAAGGAATACCTATTGAAACACCCCAATATTTTACCTAAATACAGCAGCCTGCTCCTCTGATGTCAAAGTTGAATGAAGTGGGACAAGAACAAAGTTTCCAAGGCGAGGACTGAGTACAGGATTGTCATTTAATTGATTGTAGAGTGTTCTGATTTCAGCAATACCAGGTAAAAAAACCTAAATAAAATAGCCCAGTGAGAAATTAGATTGTTGACCTTAAATTTAAAGGATGAAAGGAAAAACTGATGCACTGTTACCAATATAGATCCTTTTCTAGGGTAGTCATGGTCACCATTAGCAATGTATGTGACTACAGCTTCAATAAGATCATAATTAACCTTTTCTGGATCCATCAGGTACAATGTCTTGACTGCAGACATGCTGCATCCTGAAGTATACAATTTTTGCATTATGCGTTAAAAATAACAACCCCCTCCACAAACAACAACAAAAGAAAAACAGCCAGTCATGACTTAAAAGTAACAGATTGCAAGATACTTTACCACTATAACGGGCCAAAAGATGGGGTAAAGACAACATCTCATCCCTCACACAATCTTTAGGAGCTGATGCATTTTGGGTCAGCACATCGGCAGTGCTCAGTTCACATTCAAGAGAGTTCGCATCAAAATCTTGGAAATTCCGCTTCTTTTCTTTGATTTTTCGAGCAAATCTCGAGTCTTCCTCCAAAACATAATTTGTTTTCTCCAAAACTTCATCTAGAAAGACCTGATGAACAGGAAATGTTCGCCCTACAAAGCAAGACAGTGTGTCAGAATGTCTCACTCAATTGCACAGCAGGAACTTTTAAAAAAATGTAACCAACCAGGTATTTCTACAACAGGTATATTGTTGAAGTAAGCAGAAAATAAATCTGCATTAATAGTGGCACTCATCAAAATGACACGAAGATCAGGCCGCTTGGGTAAAAGCTCTCGAAGAATAAATAGCAAAAAATCACTCTCCTCACTGCGTTCATGGACCTCATCAACAACAATATGTGAAACAGACCTCAGTTCAGGGTCATTTTCCAACCTCCTTAAAAGAATTCCAGTGGTGCAGAAGAGAAGACGTGTTTGAGATGACATTTTGCTTTCCAAGCGGATCTGTAAGGTTCATAAAAAATTAAACATATGGATATGCATTAATGAAAAGTGTCAAAATTCAAAATGAAAACAAAAGGCTTACCTGATAACCAACAGATAACCCAATTTTTTCGGCCCGCTCTTCAGCCACTCGTTCAGCGACTCCTATGGCTGACAATCTTCTTGGTTGAGTACAAATGATTTCACAAGTTTTCTGCTTTTCCATTGAGTGATTCAGGAGCCAATCATCCAACAGAAATTGTGGCACCTTTATCGTAAGGAGTCATGCATGAGTTATGCAAATACGCACATACAGACATAATCCAGAAGTTAACAAAATACAGAATGGCCAACAGACCCCAGAACATTTTGTTTGTTAAGTATTTTGTACTGCATGCAGGCGGGTATTGAGGCCTGTCGTCTACTCGCTTGGGGCCATTAGGCACCATAGTTAGAGTCGTTAGGCAATACTGCAAAATTTTCCAGGGTCAGTGGAACACCATGTATATATGATTGGTAGCATTGTTCTAACCTGTGTACTTTTTCCACATCCAGTTTCTCCACAAATGACAACCACCTGAAAATTTCGGACAGCATCTAAAATTTCTTGGCCTTTTTTCCAAGCTGGTAGAAGTTTGCGCTCTTTTAAACTTTTTGTATAAGCATCATTCTGCCTCTTTTCTAGGAAGGACTTTGCCAATCGATCATCTTGCCTAGAATAAAGTTGGATTTCATTTAAGGATGAGTATTTTCAACCCAAGAATTGACCAGTCAGATGATTTCTTATATCAGTAAAATTAAATGGAAACTAACTTTTGCCGCTCTACCAAATTAGCCGAAGTTTTACGCTGTCTTCGGACAGGAGCATTTTTATCTGAAGTCTCCTCATCATATTCTGTATCACAGTCACTTTCCTCTTCAGATACCACATTTGAGGCCATCAGAGGCAGCTCTGGGTCGGGAAAAGCTTCTCCAATCTTATTCAAGTGCTCCAAAATTTCACTTTGCTGGTTTTGCAGTAGGTCTATTAGTGTGTATATGGAAGGAAAACCCTGGTATGAGTGAAAAAACAAAAATAACCAACAACATGATTAACAATTTTTTGCAGATGAAAAATAATCTCTCAATTTTTAATTGAAGTTTTTTTTAACTTTTACCTGTTCAGCACAGTCTTTTGCTTCAGCTATCAACCTGCTTGTAATACGAAGACAGAGAGCTGGAGGGAAGTAATGGTATGGTGTGCTAAAACAGAGCAAAGGTGGCTCTGATGGGTACTTAGAACCTGATAAGATACATAACATTTTAATTGGATATACTGTAATACAAATGAATATTTGATCTACATGCCATAAGTATTACCAGGTGGAAATCTGATTTCAAGTGTGAACTGTTTGTCTTCTGATTCAACTGGTTCATTATTTTCCTTAAGAGTTGTCAATTGATGGGAAAATCTACATTTATCTCCAAATTTGCATGGTTTTCCAGCAGCAATAAAGTTGCAAAGCTCTTTAGACTTGTCTTTCTTGCTTCCTCGTGCATTGTGGTTTCTATTGCCACTTACAGGAATTTTTTTCTGCTGGAGAGGTACTGAACAGCGACCAAGAAGGTATGGAAGATCCAACTTTGCTGCCCATACTCGGTTTGGTAACCTTTCTTCAAAGGCTTTTTCATAAATTGATTCAAGTGATGCCTTTTCATCAGAGCGTTGCTCAAGAATATCATCAGGAATGCTTTCTACCTTTGATGTGTTGGGAAGAGGCAATCGAAAATAATAAGCAATGAGGAGTTCTAAGCTTGCTCCTAAATCTCCATTAGTAGCTTGGAGAGTTTCAATACAATGGGTTTCATGGAAACCATACCTGTGTATTAAAAATGAAAATAATAGCAATACAAAAACTTATAACTGATTTAATTTTCTGCTTACCCTTTAAGTTTACTTATAGCAAAAGAATTTTGTTCAGCAAAGGTCTTTTTGCGGTTTTTTTGAGAGTAATCTGTTCCACCTAGTACACGAAGTCCACCACTATCCATCCAGTAATGTCGAGCTAAATTCGAGCCTCTATCTCTATAATCGGACTGCTTTCTTAATATAAAGTTCTGCAATCCAAACCATACAAAATAAATGTAAGAATGCCAAGTCAAAAAAAAAAAAAAAAAGAAAAAAAAAACAACTGTGAAAGAAATTTACTTCTCCATAAAGTTGTCGAAGAGTGTCTAGCATTTGATTTTCTAGATTCTTGGCAAGGCGTAATGTTTGCATTTCCACCTTGTGCGTGCCAGGGTTTTCCACTTCAGGATTACTGACATTTCTGCAAAGCAAAGAACATAAAACGTTGGACATTTTAAGAAGCATAGGGGAATCAGTTTGGCAGGAAACATTGTTATAATTAACGCAATCATGAAAGGGGACTTTACTGTTCAACCTTACTTTCGTAAGATTGAATTCCTGTTGTATTCCTAGTTGACAGCCAGTGATATGAAACATGATTGGATTTAGGGTCAAAATACAACCAAATATCGAGGAAACAGTTGATTTGAATGTTAGAAATTGCAGTTAGAGAGCAGGGAAATATTGACTAGTGCTTAGTTTTTAGGTTACCGTACCCCTTATTTTTATCTAGCACTTTTACTCTTAAATCTTCAAGTCCGGACACTAGGTGGTTATTAGGCCTTTCATTCGGCTTGGAATTCCTGTCGGACTTCTTGTCTCTCTTGTGGCTACTCATTTTTGTTCGAAAATTCTAGAGATATTGTAAATTTCTGACACATTTGCCACATTGGAGACACGGGAGACACACGGGAAGACATCCAGACGCAGAAGTGGGCCTGACGACGCGACCGCGACCCTCCCCTCTTCTCCTTTGCCCATCGCTGGCGCGCTTGGGCGGCGCGCTATTCAACAACGACGTGGAAATGAAGGAACATGGGAAGGGCAAAAGCCTGTCTGTTTAACGGCTGCGACCGCCGGTTTCTTTTTTATTCAGGAGAACTAAGATAGGGTACCCCAGCGTACGAACTAAGTGCAACGTACCATATACCCGGTACCTAAGGAACGGCCAAATTATCGATATTACTACAGACAAATACAGCAATGTAGGCTATGTACTCAGCAGCTATTTCTTCAGAAGTGCACCTAGGTTTCAGTCCTTCGATGTTTGTTTCAAACAATTTATGCGATAAATTTCAATACTGAGCATTTCGCTTCCTCTCGTCATTTCAGATTTGGTACCGTCGCGACGGTTGGTAATACTATCTCGGAGGGAAAGCCACCATGTTTATCAGCTTCTGAAATCTGACATGCACTACAACCCTCTTCCCAGGACTCAGGAGTCGCATTTTTAAAATTTAAATTTATGTATGTGACTGGGGCGTTAGCTCACGCACTCTTTCAGTATGGAGAGAAAGAAAAAGGTATGAGTGATTTGCTATTGATAATCTAACGTGAAGAAGTTTGATACTTTAAGACTCAAACGTTTGATGTACCCCTCTAACCTATCCAATACACCCAATTTGAAGTAAATTTTCTTATTTGCCTTGTCTTCGCACTTACTCATTGTTGGAATGTTAAATTATGTGCTCGGTACTTCTAACCTATCATATATTAAAATTTTTGCACGTAAATATTATGTCATTATGTCGTCTAACCTCTCACTTGTTATCACACCTGTTACTCTGCTAACTGATCCACCTATTTCTCGCCTAATTATATGTGTCTTTATCATGTCACTTCTTCCAAACGGCGGTGTTTTACATTTTCTTGTCATCATTTCAGGTTGTTCCAAGTGTGAGTGATATTTTTGACCTCAGTAAAAAAATGGAGCCCATCACTATAAGGTCCGGAGCCGTTATGGGCCGCCAAGTGCCTGATGATGATCTCTTCCTAAGACCTCACACTTCTAGAAGACCAGGGGGTCTCGATTATGTTCATAAATATGTGGAAGAGGAAGAAAGACTGCTCTTGACGGTACAGTTTTGTAATTATGATGTCAACTACAATCACTCATTTTGATTTATACTGGTGATGATTAATATTTAATATTTTCCTTTGGTGCTACAGGGTCATAAAACAGCTGTGCCCAGCTTGGTACATAGAGAATTGTGTGAAATGGAGGATATGACCTCCATTGGATCAACACCTAATCTAGCTGATGTTGATCAAGATGACTTACAAGTGTTTGACCAATTTAATTTTACACCTGTTAAATCAAATTTACCTATTGAAGAATTAAGAATGAGGGTAAATGCTTCACAAAGACGTAAAAAGCTATACATTTTTCCTGTGATCTTATGTGAATCAATTTTTTTTTTCAGATCGTTCAGATGGTTGAAACTAATCAAGTTCTTGTTGTTGTGGGAGCTACTGGCTGTGGGAAAACAACCAAGTTACCTCAGTTCATCCTTGATCGACATGCCCAGATGCGGAAAAAATGTAATATTATTGTGACCCAACCTCGAAAGATTGCTGCAATTAGTGTAGCAAATAGAGTTTGTGCGGAGAGAAACTGGACTCTTTCAACTATAGTAGGGTACCAGGTAAGCCGAAGCCTTTAAAACTAAGAAGCATTAGTACTTTTAAGCTTTTCACTGAAAACTCATCTGCATACTGTACTTTTTGTAATTGTTTAGGTGGGTCTTGATAATCAAACATCACCATCTACTCGTTTGACTTACTGTACCACCGGAGTGCTCAGGGAGAAGCTAGTGAGAGAAAGAAATATGATGGCATATACTCATGTTATTATAGATGAAATACATGAAAGAGATTTGGATACCGATTTTCTTATGCTGATTGTCCGCAAACTTCTACGGTCAAATTCTAGAACTGTTAAGGTAACACTCAAGCATTGCAAGTAAGTTCATTATGACCGATATTTGTCAACTTGGATCAATTTCTTTTCATGGTTTTTCAGGTTATTCTTATGTCTGCAACCATTGAACCCTCCCATTTTGCCAAGTACTTTTCATTACCTTTAGGTGATATCCTTGTACCAGCACCTGTCCTAGAAATTCAGCAACACACTCCTTTCAAGGTTGATGAATACTTTATAGAAAAACTTTCACCTCTTGGCAATGTAAGTCAATGATCTTATGAGAATGGGACAACTTCTCTTACTACTAAAGAATCATCTGTTATTTTACTTCTATATACTATGTTTCATACTTGTAACTTTGATTGCACTTCAAGTGAAACATAAATCTTATTGCCAATACTTTTCTCTCCTCGCAAGATCCCTAGATTTGAAGTTGAGGACCCATTTATACATGAACAAACCTATGACCTAGCTGTTAAATTAATAATGCATTTTGATAAAATGGATAAAGATGCATTTGAATTTGAGTACAATAGAAAGCCCACTATGCAGGATAATTACAAGAAGGATGTGCTTGTCTTTTTGCCTGGTATTCATGAGATTGAGAGCATGCATGAACTACTGGATAAGAAGAAAACAGAGCAGTAAGTATCTTTTATGCTAGATCTACTGCCCCTCTTTTTTTCAGTAAGTCTTTTACAACTGTAGAGTTCTAAAATGTGTTTTAGCATTATTTATAGTTCGATATTCCAGGTTGTGTTCCTATTTTTTAATTTTTATTATTTTTTTCCTTTTTGTTTACTTTAAAGTGGCTATTTGTGGCATCTCCTACCGCTTCACTCTACTATTACCAGAGTGCAACAAAGTAAAGTTTTCATTGCAGCTGCTGAAGGATACAGAAAAATCATTCTATCAACTAATATTGCAGAGAGCTCAATTACCGTTGTAGATATTGTATATGGTAAGAATAATTGATTTTGACAACCAAATTGTGTTACTGAAACTTAATGGGTAATTGTCTTACAGTTGTTTTTGTAATTTTCTAGTAATTGATTTTTGCCTCACAAAACATTTGGTCTGTGATCCCCTTACAAATTTTACTAGCTTAAAATTGTCTTGGGCGGCACATTCAAATTGTAAACAGCGTGCAGGTCGAACTGGGCGAACGAATCCTGGCAGAGTTTACCGAATGGTCCCAGAATCTTTCTATGAGGTCAGTGCAATATAGACATTAGTATGTATCTTGGTGTTTTTCTTGAGTTAAAAATAGTTTCATTATTCCTGCCTAAACATTGTAGACCGTCTTGATTTATGAAGCTCCTCCTGAGATGACTCGCTGTCCTCTTACTACAACAGTATTGAAAGCTAAACAGTTGAAAATGGGAGGTCCGGAGGCGATATTGGCTTATGCCTTGGATCCACCTGACTTGGGTCGTTTGGAATCTACAATTCTCATATTAAAAGAGGTATCTTTGCTTATCAAACTGTCTGTTGTTCTGTTTATCTTTACTCTATCCTTTAATCAAAATACAATACTCATATACTATGCTTGTCAATTGATATTATTGTTATTACTAATCTCTCTATACACCATTTTCACCAGGCAGGTGCTTTACTTATGACTAGTGAAGGGAATCCTTCAAAATACGATGGGGATCTCACATTTTTGGGAACTGTAATGTCCAATTTGCCCCTTGACATCCATCTTTCAAAAATGATAGTACTTGGGAATGTATTCTCAATCCTGGATGACTGTATTGTTATGGCTGCTTGGATGACAGTGCGTAATGTGTTCTGTAATGATTTTCATGATCGCCTTGGACCATATGCATCAAAAATTTCATTCAGTGGAGGCTCTAATAGTGATTGCATAGTTTACCTCCACGTTTTTCGAGTAAGTAAATTCTTCTGATCTTTCAGATTGGACAAAATATTGTTATTTGTAGAAATGTAAGACTTTAATTTTTCACTCTGTTTGAAGACTTTTACTGAACTTGAGCGGACAAACTATTTCAAAACATCAAATGATAGTGCTAAAGCTTGGTGCAAGAGAAATTTCTTGAACTTAAAGGCTATGCAAGAAGCGAAAGAGTTAGTGGAGGAGCTTAGGAAAAGACTGAGAAACCTTGGTGTATATGATGTTGCTGCTGAAGGAAGACCCAATTGGGATTCCTCACTGTTACCTCTTGTAAGAAAGGTAAGTCTTGCACTTTTCTTAAATTTAGGATTGAATGTGCCTCAGTTTTTGCTCTTGCTGTGCTGTTTTTGTTCACTTAGTTTATTTACTAATAGGCTTAATTTTCACCAGGTAGTAATAGCTGGTGCATTATACCCTAATTATTTCATCAGAGGTGCTCTTGGTGGGCAGGTAGACGAATCTAAAGCTGTCAAAACATTGTCAGGGAAAGACCCTTTTACTACTGTGTATGTTCAGGGTTTAAGTCCAGAGCAGCCAGGCGAATTATATGCCAAAGTTTTTAAAGACATATTTGAAACATATGCAGGGGTGGTCTCTAATGTTTCCTTTGATGGTTCAAGGTTTGTTGAATAACTTTCTTCTTGTAATAATTGTAATTGATATGTATTATTATAAAATTTAAAATATTAATTCAGCTTTTTTTACCAATGGCAGCAAAGTTTACATTGAGTTCAAACGGGAGAATATTAAAGATCTACCTGGCAGAATCTCCTATCCAGTTTATAGATCTGTTAAAATGCGACAGTTGAGAATTCCTATTGAAATTCCTATTCTCAAGTAAGTTGAGTTTTTCTAAGCCATTATGAACTTAACATCACTGACAGAGAAATGATTGCTCATGTTTGTGTTACAGTCCCACAGAAGCTAAGGAGCGTGCAGAAAAGTTTGGCATTGATTCTTCTGAACGACATTTGTCTTTAGGAAAGCTTGAAGAAAACCCTCTTTCCAACTTACCTGCTGAAATTGAATTTATCCCATCATTTGTGAGTTAGCACCTTATTATTATGCTGTTGTAAACTCCTGAAGAAAGATTAGATTAATTGTAACAATTTTCTTTTGCAGATTTTTGATCCAAACAAGTTTTGGATTCACACAAAGACTGTGAAAAATTTAAACATCTATCAAAGACAACTAAATACTCCTGGAAATACATTCTCCCTCTCTCACATGCCAAAAATTGGTGATATATATGCTGCTCCTTATCCTCAAAATTCTGGAACACTTTATCGTGCCCAATTGAGTTATATCAACAAAGATAATCGTGCCTATGCCACAGTTAGTTTCTCTTTACTATTTTTCTTGAATTCTCTTGGTCGTTCACTTGTAATGCCTTTGCAGTGTTATTGGTTTATTTTTAAATTTCAGGTTCTCTTCATTGATTATGGCAATGTTGATGATTCCATGCCTGTTAAATACTTGTGTGAAATTGGGCCTGAAATTGAGAACCTAAAGTCCCTGATTCAGGTCCCTCCCCTGGCTATGGAGTGTTCTCTGATGGGCATTGGTCCATCTCCTCTTACAAACAAAAATGGTGTTTGGTCCAAGCAAGCAGTCACCAGATTCCATAACCTGATGAATGGGAAAATGAAAGGATATGTGAGTAATTATTGTTTTCCCCAAAATATTCTCATTGTGTAAATAAAATATCATTCTGTAAAGATCTTTAATTGCAGGTATTTTCAGTTGTTGATGGTGTTGTGTCTTTGACTGTGAAGCCCTTGGGAAAAGATTTGAGTATTAATGATTTGTTAATAGAAGAAAACATAGCTATAAAAATTGATGAGAGCTACCGCTCTAAGGTAAATATAATCATGTTTGTGCAACTTCCATAGTGTTAGATTCTTATCTTTGTCATTTTCAGCTGAGTAATTCCTTGAGGATGTCAAGCCAAACCAGCCGTAATATGTTGCAATTGACTAAAGAAAACCCAAAAGAAGAACCTTGCCGGCAGATTATAGTCTCTGACAGCAATCTGCGAAGAGTTGAAAACTATGTGCAGCCACCATCCAGGAATGAATGTAGAAGTGTGGTAAGTACTCTTGGTATTGTAATTTTATTCCTACTTTTCACCCTCTGGAAACATTTATATTCTGATATTTTGATGCAGTTAAGATTGAAAGGGCCTTCTAGTCCTTTAGAAATGAATGTTTATGGTTCTACTAGAGTCTCAAGTGGCAAGGAAATTAGTATGGAACTTGACTCTGTCAACTCTGTTCTCTTAGATTCAAATCCAGAAGATCCTCATGAAAGGTTTGTAGAATTGTTTGTATGACAGTAGTCATATAAATAGTTTTAATTGAAAGGAAGTAATTTGCTCCTCTGGGAACTATAAAACGTGATGGACCTATAAATTTTTCATGTTAAATTTTCTTTTCAGACTGCTAGTTGCAGGATTTGTAGCAAGTAATGCTTCTGGCACTAGATTAAAGCTTGGACATACAACACTTATGCCAAATATTCCTGGGTTATCTGCCTTAATGTGTCTGTTGTTTGCTCCATCAGTGGAGTTGAGGTAAATTTTTAATTTTCTTTCTTTATGTGTATCTTATATTTTTTGAATATTGTCACCCAACACTGTAAACCTGTATTCAAAATCATGCCCTAGCTTATCTTTTACCCATGTGCCACATTTAAATATCTAATCCTGCTTCTTTTCTTAGGCAAAGTAGGGATAGAAGAAGATATACTGGTGCCTTGTGTGGCCTTGGTTATGATGAACAGCACAAGGAAGCTCTTTTCCCTGAAAATGACATGGAAATTATTTTTGATAGTGTAATAACTCTGGATGATATGCAACTTGTGAGTTTGGAAATCAGTAAAATAACTTCTATATTTTAATCTACTGACTTGACATCTGAATTTTTTGTCTTTGTTAAGGTGAATAAAATAAGGTATTGGATGTCCCAGCCATTGCTAACTGTACCTGGTGATGATATGTGTGATGCCACACCAGCTCAAGTCCTGAAGAGTCAGATTAAAGTTCATGAACACATTACCTCGTAAGTTTTAAATACAACTGTATTATTGCAATTGCAACCATTCAAATTGCCATTTCCTTCTGTGATTGTTCACTCATACATATTATTTCTCTCAGGCTTCTGAATAGTTTTCGCCATTCTCAAGAAGTTGAACCCTTCTCAGCTTCCTATCAATGGCATCGGTTCAAGGAAGATGATTTACTGGTCCCAGACGTCATTGAGGAAAGATCACCTTTCAGACCTCATTGTGGACTCTTGCTCTCTGAATGACCATATTGTTCTAAAAAAACATCTTTTACTATAGACTTCAGTGATTTCAATCAATTCATTAATCAATTATTTTGTTTTTCAAACCTATTGGTACATATCTGAGTATAGTACCTATTTTGTATAGCATTATTTAATGTTGATAGGTAGCATCTGATTGCTGCAAATTTATTTTGTGTTACTGTAAACCAGTAAACGTAATTTTAATTAAACTTTCTTACATGTAAATCCCTTTATTTTGTACATGATGTTTACACTTTTAAAAAATCAAAACATCAAAAATAACTTTAATAACAGATCAACAATAGATCTTAAGTTTGAAAACAATACTCATCGAGCAACACATGAAGGAAGATTGTGTAGGTAGAGATGAAAGGTGGGACGGTTCACTATCATCTTCGTGTTTCAACTCAATGACAAAAAAATGATGAGAGTGATACGTATGGTTATGAAAATGGCAGTTCATATTTACCTTTCAACCCAGAAAGAATTAAAACTCAGGAGTTGGGAGATCTTTTGCTAACAGATTCTGGATTAATCTCTGAATTGCTGACGAAACTTACACACAACCATGTTCCACTGATGTAGTGGTTTGTATTAATTCATGCTCACATTCACATTTTCAGTTAACAGTATTTACAAGTAACAGTAACAGACTATAAAACATGTGGCTTTTTATGGAACAGTCAGCCTATTACCCACATTCAAACCCAACCATACAGTCTATATCTTTCAATAACCATAAAATACACAATATACTAATTTTATTTATTTACAAATATGTATAGATACATATTCAGTAGACCTCTGTGACAACATGGGTGTTCACAGTTTGAAAAGAAAATGGAGAGCTTGATACATTGTAAAAAAGATCTAACTGGCTGCTCATGGATGAGATGTAGCAAGGTGAGAAATGGCAGTGAAATATCAGGCTAATTGCTCTGATCGAAACCATGCTTTTAAAAGCAACTACCTGTCTGCAGCAATGTTTTTTTTTTGTTTGTTTTGTGTGTGTGTGTGGATGAAACAATTTTTTTGGTATGTCATCCTGCAATTTATTTTAGTTAGAGAACACAGATACCACGCAGCATTTATAATTTGTGGCCTGCTCATTTAAAAGAAGCTGAAATCTTTAATACGTGTATAAGCCAAATTTCAAGTTGTGCTGAATTTATTTGTGTGCATTACAAAAATGGCACACTAGAACAATACAACAGGGGACACCGAAGTAATTGTGTACCTTTGCCCAGAAAAAAATTATATAAAGAAAAATATGATGCTGTAAATTATAGATATTGGTAAATTACTGGTATAATTATCTGCATTATAGATAATTAGATTCCTCATGGATTCAAAATATAGTAATTGTGAGTATTGATCGGTAAACTGATTACATATATGTATTTCTTTTCTTTCCTTTTTAATTCTTTTTTTTGCACGCTCATCCGCTTTTCGGAGTCAACCGACCTACTTTGGATAGGCTTAAAATTAATGAGTTCGAATAAAGTTCCCACCTTGATCTATCTTGATTCCAGTTCTCTTCACTCACTAACTATAAAGTGTTCTTTACTCTCTTTTGGGGGATATGGAAGATGGCAAAGCCCATTTGGCGTGGAAGATATATTACATGAGCAAGTTGTTGCAATAAGTCACCTGCAACAAAATTAAGGAGTCCAACCCTGAAATTAAACCAGGGGGAAGACAAGGTGATAAAAAGGTGCGCACACAGTGCGCATATTCCTTCTTGCCTCTGATAAGTCGATGTATACATTTAAGGAAAGCGAATAAGAGAAGAAAGTGTACACAGAAACAAGAGAGATAAACACAACAAAGGACAATAAGAATCGGAAAGAAGGAGTCGAAATATTTGATGAAAGGAAGAAATGATGTAGTCATTAAAAGTCATCGACGAGCGTTTTGAAGATCTCAACCATAGTCCGCGCTCGATAAGATCAAGAGACGTCCGAGCTCAGCCGTTCGAGTAACGAATCTCCGTTCCGTCTCAGGCCAGCTGCCTCCGGCTGCCTCTCATTTGTGGATCATAGAAGGTGAACCAGCCACCGAGCGCAGCAGCTGCCGCGCCTGGCGTGGCCTGACGATTCCATTTGTACGTAGGACACGCTATAGTGCTCCGGCCTGCGGAGACCAGAGGCCGTCAGAGGCTCCAGGTGCAGCGCACTCCCCTCGGGAGCACGTCTGTCCCCTGAGCTTAGTTGTGCTTAGGAATGTGGCTTCACTCGGATCACTTCGCCGGGCCGTAACAGTCCAGGCCGTTCAGGCCCATGCCAGATCGCCTAGAAGCCCTCAATGACGTCGTACGCCTCTAGGCACGCCAGGGTGATGTAGGTGAACCACAGCATGAGGAGTAGACCCGTCGTCATGTACTTGAAGACTTTGGGCCCACCGAGCTCGCCTCCGACGCACCGCATTCGACGCACCATCATCACAAAGATGCTGATCAAAGCCCCAACGCAGAAGATGGTCACGTTGAAGGCGAGACTGCACAGAAAGTGTAACAAAATTTCGTTGGTTTGAGTTTTGAATGTCATCTGTCTGTCTGCACGCACGGGCAGGCAAAGAGTTACTCACTTTCCCGGGTCCACAAGGAACTTTTCGCCATGCCACCAGTGATGTAACGCAGCCAGCGTCCACGCGATGCCGATGCCAAGGAACACGTTCACGGCGTTACTGCCCGTCACGTTTCCCACGGATGCGTCCGCGTACTTGTCATTGAGCGCCGCCACCTTGCTGGCAAAAGTGTCTGTAGGGATGAGAAGATAACTTTCATTAGCACGGTGGTCCTTTGAGCCCGGCTTTGAAATAGGTTGGAGCTGGTTGGAACCGTTGTTGTTTCTGTCGCCATTCTAGATAACACCAGGACTTTACCCCTTCAATTTAAAGATTAAGTCAATAGGTTTCTGCGGCACCCTTAACTTATTTTTGTGACTTACAAGAAAGTCGGAAACTGAATTGCATGTAGTAAATTTACGGAATTCTAAGGTACCCAAATCAACAGTTTCGGGGAGATGTCTTTCTGTGCAACATAATTTTCCGAAGTTTGATACAACGAACAAATCCTTCGCAAGTAATTATCAGTGCACAGTGCGGTCCAAAAAGATTTGGCACTTGGAATTGACTGTTTAAGAATAGGTCGTTGGGAAGCAACTCAAAAGAAAACAAAGACACATCGACGCAGAGAATCAGCCTGCGATCGACTGGGTAGGCAACCTCAGCGATACGGCGCGCGCGTGTCTTCGCGTTGCCTATCTCCCAGGCGTTCCCGTCCGTGCAGCTGTTTGGGCGAGCCTATCCTCCGCCAGCCAGCCTTGGCCTTGTGGAGTTCCCGCTCCCACGGTCTGCTCAAGCCCGGACGGACTGTGTCTGAATACCACGAAGGGGGTGCTAATCAATCAATGGTCCCAAGGCCGACTTTTTGGTCATGCTGGTCGGATGATTGGGTGACTGACAGCTCGCTGCAGCTCCGACCGTCGCTCTTACTGTACGCCATGCAGAGAAGGAAACTCACAGTCCATTTTTACCCCGCATCTACTTGTAGGGCATTGTTACACTCACCACCCGCGCTTCAGTTGGTTATTTCTCGAGGGAAATGCGATAAAATTAAACTGAAGTAAATGGGCTAGGGGATATAAACTTTGACGAACGCTGAATAGAGAAAGTAGGTTGGTTGAAGTAGTTTTCGAGCCCAACGGGCGTTTCTTGGCACGCGCGGGAGGGGTCATGGCGCCTTACGCGCAAATCTACCTCACAGGGGGTGGGGAAGGAACCACTTCTTCGCCCCGCGCCCGACGCGATCCTGGGCCGCTTACAGCCACACGTCCCGCCTTTAGAGACACGCCCGCTCAGCGGCAAGCCCCGCTGCTGGGAGGTCCTAGAGGTAACCGGGGCCAAGCGGGGGCACAGCGAGCAGAGAAAAACACGACGGAGGGGGTACAGGGGGGGGGGGGGCTCGGCGTAAAAGGGTCGTCGAAGCCATAGAGGAGATTGGCGAGGTCATGCCTGCAAGGCTCAGCACCCCCCTTCCCTCCCCCAAGTCCCTCTAGGTCTCGCGGAACGGCAGCCGGGAGCACCACACGACAGTGACTACCGCAGTAACCATCAAAATGGTTATATAGATCCCTTGTACGAATGAGTGGGAGAAAGGAAGATTGCTGTTTGCCCAGGGTCCACTGAAGATGCTCCGTGGGGCCACGCCTCGCTCCACCAGCCCCCCCCCCCCCCCCCACACACACACATATCGGGCCCCCAGCGCGATCAGGCACCGAGTCTTGGCCGGCCGCGTTTGTTCACGCAGTAGCTCCGTGTGTTTTCCTCGCGCGCGCAAACATTTGTGCCCACTGTTGTCTTGACCGGGCTTTGCCGTTGCCGGGCTGGGCTTTGCCCCACCCAGACGAGGCTGGTTTACTTTGACAGCGCGTGGCCCCTGCCGCGCCCAGCAGCGGTTGCCCCTCCACCACCCCCTCCTACGCAAACTGCCCCGAAAAACCCAAACGGATGGAAAACCCCTTGTACTAGTGTACCGAAGTAAATAACCTGCTTCGTCGCCATCCTCTCCTATCCACATCCCTTACACAACTTTGTGTAGAACGACAATGCACGTTGTACTTTGGCTAACGCTCGATTTAGCCTTGGTGAAGCGAGTGAAGATGAAGCCATCCTGTCATGTGTTTTGAGTAAACTGATTGGCTGAATGAGAACTGGAGCCAGCTTCAAGCTGGTTTCAACCTATCAGATGGCCCGAAACAAATGACGGCTGGCGTCAGCTTCACTCGCTTCACTGAGACTAAATTGAGACAACTT